GTATTATCTATCTATCTATCTATCTATCTATTTATTTATTTATTTATGATAGAGAGGCTAGAGAGAGAGGCAGAGACAGGAGAAGGGAGAAGCAGGCTCCATGCCGGGAGCCCGATGTGGGACCCGATCCTGGGACTCTAGGATTGCGCCCTGGGCCAAAGGCAGGCGCTAAACCACTGAGCCGCCACCCAGGGATCCCCTCCACATTGTTTTCATTCAGGCTTTTGCTTTGTTGAGCCCTGTCCCCATGGAGAGGTTGCTGACCCATGCTAATAATGTACTTGCTATATCCCTTTTACACTTTTCTCCATTTCTTCCCATGATTGTAATTGTAGCTCACATGTGTGGCTGCACTATGCCATCCAGCCCCCTCCCCCTTCCAGTGGGATTAGCTGAGACCTTCCTTACAACTGTACCACACTGGAGCTTCCTCTTCACTCAGTCCTTTTCTCCCGCCAGAAGCTTTCTGTGGCCAAAGCTTAGTCTGATTTCCAGGAACCCAATCTGCTATAGTTGGTGCCAGGAGTGGTCTGAGAAAGCACACGTGGCATTTTGGAGTAGGTAGATGGCACTGATGGCTTCCTCACAGGTTGTAGTGGAATAGGAATGGTAGCAGTGCAGTTCAGCCTTGGACTACAGGTGGATTGTATGGCATACCAGTGGAAGCCACTGCCCAGGCTGCTGGGATTTACTGTGTATTTGAAAAGTACAAGGCAGCGGCAGACAATGGAATTTGTGGCTGTGGCTAGTAATAAATAGATCCTTTGGAAAAAGACAAGGGCTGAGGGTGATTAATAAGCAGTTACAGGCTAAATGTAACCAGAGAACTTCCTAAAAAGAGACCACTTAGGACCCTAAGACCAGTACTTAGTCCTACGACTTGTAGGACTCTAGAGAAGGCTTGGATTCTCAGCCCAGGCAGGTGTGCTACTTCAAGGTCAGAGCCTTGATCAGGAAGAAGGATAAGACCCTGAGATTTGCCATGGACACCTGGATTGGCACATTCAAATTCTGAATCCCAGATTGCTCTGGGACCTGCACTTGTGGCTACTTCTCTGTTAAAGGAGGAGCGTCCGGTCCTATTGTTGCTGAAGGCCATGCAGGTTGCTTCTCGATAAACACCTCCTCCCTCAGGAATTTCTGTCTCCTTCCCTCCTAGCCATTAAGCCAACAACCTAGCTAAGAGTTATTGGGCCTGTTGGGGAAGCCTGAGATGTGCGCCAGTCAGGTGAACCAAACCATAGGGTAATTTGAACAGGGAAAGAGGATTTTAACTAGTAATGGGATTAGCTACCTAGGAGTAAAGAAATAAACACAGCAAAGGCAGACATGGAACAGCTCCCCAAGGTAGAAGTTGAAGGAGTAAACAATAGGAATGACTGGGCCAGCTAACATGCACTAGCCTGTCACCTGCTGTCCCAGTACAAGCACCTGGGGGCTCTTCAGTGGAATGGTCATGGGCCAGGGTGGAGGTCACACATAGACCCAACCACATGCACTCCCACTCACCAGGGCTGATCTAATAATACCTCTGCTGAATGTCCAGCCTTCCAACAACAGACCAAACACCTAATCCCCAGTACTACCATCCTTTGAGGGAACAGTCACTTGGCGGCAAGTTGACAACACTGAATCTTTTGTGCCCCTAAAGGTGTGGAGATGTATCTTGACCGGAATTGACATGATCCAGGCATGGCTTTCCCTTTCCTGTTTGCAGGGCCTCAGTGAGCTCTGATATCCAAGGCTCAGAGTGTTTGATCCACTGACAGTTACACAAGCATTGCATTGGACATGGGGACCCACTATACAGCAAGAGAGCTGCAGTGGGCACGTGATGTGGACCCAAGGGTTCCCCCAGCGACATACCCAGGAGCACCACCCTGTTGGAGGGAGGAATGGCCTGTAGTAGGTGTAGCTTCCAGCAGCATGGAGGAGCAACCTCCAGGGTGTGGTAAACACTGTCCATCAGTAGCCACTACTGAGTGTAGTGTCCCCAAGATGTATAATTAAGGATGTGGGAGTGGTCCTGCTTACCATCATTTCTAGTGCTGTAAATTTGTCTCTCCCCCAACACCTCTGGGTTCTGCAGATTAAGTCTTGACTGCCAGAGGGGAAACTCACCTGGAGCATGGGGAAAATGCCATTTAATTTGAAGCTGCAGTTGCTGCCCTATCCTTTCAATAGCTAAGAGACTGGCAGGCAAGGAACATAAGCAGTTGCTTGTGTACGCTTGAGCAGTCTCACGCAGTTGCTTGAGATGCCTGCCTCCTGATCACCCGAAGTCAGGGCTGCTGTTACATGATGGTGCAAGGAAGCATACATTTGGTACCCAGCTGATAAGACTAGTCACCTCTGTCCTCTGTCCGAATCTGATGGCAAATGCAGTGACCATGGCCTGAGAAAGGCATGGTGACCAGGGGCTTATACCTCTCAGAGATGAGGGGTTTGGGTAGTTCCATCGATCAGATGAGCTATGTAGACCAGCAGAAGTGCTAAGCCAGGGTGAGGGGACTCTAGAATGTGCATTAGAGGGACACAAATATCATTTGTAAGCTTTTTGAGACCAGCTTCAGTGACCAGGTGATTCAGTTCATCCCATTAACCTTCCTTTTAAAAGTATCTTCCAGGAAGAGGCCCACCAGCATCCTGAAGGAGCTACTTTCAGAATGTATCTGCAGCAAGTGGCTGGGAGCAGTGCTGTGTAATGCCCAGTAGCAAAGGACTGTAGTGAGTCCTGTGGATGCCCAAATTCCACCATTCATCACCCCACCTGCTGGGAGTGTTGCTGGCTGGCTGCTCACAGTCAGCCTCTCCTGGTGGCTGCCTCAGCTGCACACTCCTTTCCCAGGGGCAACTGATCCAATGACTGGTCAGTGTGGGCATATAAAGGCCTGCTTCCGTGATTGGGGGATAACTCTATAGGCCATCCAGGTCCCAAGCAGGCCTTTGTAGTGACTCCATCTTGGCCCGGTCCTCCTTCCCTCATGTTCCTGTAAACATTGATCCTGAGAGCACTCCCCACTAACCTTTCCAAATGCAAACCATCTCAGAGTCAGCCTCCTGGAGACAAGGCTTATGCCAGTGAATGTGTATAACATACTTATATACATAACCGGGAAGATTTGGTCACTAGTTGCAAAAAAATGAGATCGTATTTTCACAGATTTCTGTATCTTCAAGGCAATTAATAAAGCTCTAAGTCATTCTTTTCAGTGGTCGTGTGCTTCATGGCGTAGATGTTATATAATTTATTCATCAACTACCCTTTTGATTGGTATCTACTTTGTTTTTCAGTCCTTTGCCATAAAACAACACAGCCATAGATGTTTTGGTTTAAAGCTACTTATCATTGCATATGTTTCTATGAAACAGCCAATAGTGAGTTTGTTTGGTTAGATGATTTATACATTTTATATCTCTGCTTTTATTGAGGTTACACACACAGATTCTGCACACAAAACATGTGTATTCTGAGTTTATAACTCAACATTTCACAAACTGAACACTCCTGTAACTCGTGCAGATTAAGAAACAGGACATCAGTAGCACCCTGGAAGCCCATCTTTGTTGCTTTAGGACAGTCCTCTACCCAACTCAGGAGTAATGGATGTATTAATTTCAATAGGTGTTGACAATTTCCTTTCCAAGAAGATTCTAGCTATTCACATTTTTACCAGCAATGCCTGAAACTACCTCTTCCTTCTACCTCTGGTTGCATTAAGTTTGCATTTCCCTGACCACTAGAGAGTTTGAGTATTATATTGTGTTTATTTGCTTTTGGGATTTGCTTATTTGTATACTGCTTCTTTCTATCTTGTACTCATTTAAAAAATCAAACTTTTTTTGCCTGCGTTTAAGTGCTTGTTGTATAACACAGATATTAGCCCTTTATCCTTTTTGTTCCAAATGATTTTCCCAGTATGTTCTTTTCTTTCAGAAGCAGTACTGCTATCCCTATTTATTAACCTGTTGTATTCTACTGAATTGAGATACTATCTTTGTTCTACAGTAGAGTCTCATAAAGCCATGGGTCAGTTTCTGGATTGTCTGTTCTGTTTTAGAAATCTTTTGACTCTTCCTGTCCAAATACAACATGAATTTGATTGTGGTCGCTGAATAGTACGTTCTGATAGTCAAGCAAGGCGAGCCTTTTATTGTTTTTTTAACTTACTTTCGTGTCTGTTTTCAGATATCTGGTATTTCATATGGCCTTTGACATTTTTTTCAATTAAAAGAGCCCTTGTAGGGTCTCTAAATGGAATTGCATTAAATTTATTTTTGGAAGAATTGAACGTTTGTGCATATCTGGATGATGTGTCCTTCCATTTGTATAATCCATTTGTATAGTTTCAATGCCATTTTATGAGATTTTAAGTTGTCATCATTGAGTACCTCATGCTTTTTGTTAAATTTATCCTAAGTTCTTTTTACTGTAAAGATTTCCCCTGTTTTCATGTCTTGGTTGTTATTATTGCTGTGGAAGGAACATAAATCACAGTGGTTATGAAAACAAACACCTGAGTCATGCTGCCTGGGATTGAATGTGGTTCCATCACTTACTGCTCAGTCCAGGCTTATTAAAACAAAATTTAAAACAGAGGTTTGTATTAATGATGTTTTACTGAACCTCTTATTGTTCCATTGAAATATTATTCATTATAAGAATCTCCTCAAACCTTTAATACTTTCAAGATTTCTGTAAAATGTCGAACTTGGGTTTTCAGATTCCGGTATACAATGGAAATGCCAAGTAATAATTTCTAATAAACATTTTATGATTACCTGGATCTGTCTCCAGTTAATTTGAAGATATGTTACATAAATGTTTATTGTAACAATAGTATATGTTTTGGGTATGAATGTTACTATGTTGTTTTATATAAGTAAATAATGAGTAAGTAGCATGCTTATAGAGGCCACTTTCAATGTTTAGCTAATTACATGACTTAGATTTCAATATTTCTTTAATGCCTTGTGTTCCCTTTTTGTGTTTTTAAAAGCTTCAGAAGTGGTAAACAATTCCTGTATTAAGTATTCAGTACTTCTTGAAGATGGGAAGAATCAATCACTGGAAAAAAGGGTAAATCATTGCAAATATTATTAATTCTAAATAGATAACTTTCACTTATTCAACACATACTTAATTGTCTAGTGTATGCTGGGCACTGTGGCTACCATGCTGCAGAAAATAAGGAACGGAGTTCTTCTCTAGGAGTTCATGGTTGAACTTGCTTGATAGGGGAGGGGAAGACAGAGCAGTGCTGTGACCCTACAGGACGGTGCATTGAGTGCCATGGTAGGAGTCAACTCACTGGAACAGAGACTACTAACACAGCTTTTGTGCTGTCTCATTTTGTTTTTTTTTTTTTCCTGGGTGGTGGGGAAAGTAGTCTGGGAGCCTTTTTGAAGTCTGAAAATTATGCCTGAGTGGTCACCTACAGGATGATCAGGAGCCCCAACCATTAGAGAAGAGGGGGAGGACTTGGTAGAAATGTTCAGGTTAGGGAGAAAGCTGGGGCTCTCAGATGGCTGAAATACAGAGAAGTCCCAGGAGGGAGGGGGCACAACTGCTCAGCAGATGAGCCATGTGGGGTGGGCAGGAGGGGAGGGAAAGAGGAGGTCATCTCACTAAAGACAGTGGCTGAGAGAATAGACTCTGGGACAGGGGTGTTCAAAGCCCAGCCTCACTCAATCTAACTGAAACTCCCTGTAGTAAAGTGGGGATGGCAGGACAGCCCTGGCGGGTAACAGGATGGTGGTTTGCTCTCAAGTGGAGGGAGAGGGGATTCGACAACTGGAAGGTGCCCCTTTGTGAGTGAGCCCAGATTTTCTCTCTGGGCTGTTCCAGCAGTGGTAGAGAGCCAGCTTACCCAGGTTTTGTTCATTGCTCTCAAAAGAATTTTGAAAAGCTGTATATAGCTCATGACATATTTTTAAGTTGAAATTTAAAATATTCATAACAAGTTTAAAATGTTTCATAGGACACAATTTCTGGTGTATTGACAATATTGACTTTTAAAAACAGATTTTATTTATTTGAGAGAGAGGAAGAGAGAGCATGAACAGGATGAGGAGCAGAGGGAGAAGCAGGCAGGTGGCTTGATCCCAGGAACTCTTGGGATCATGACTCAACCAACTGACCCACTCAGGCACTCTGGCAATATTGACATTTTAAAAATGATTACATCATTGTTTAAAATATAGCCACTTAAAAAAATACTCTGGTAACCTAATACCCACAAGCATACTTTTAAAAAAGACATGAGCAAGATATTCTTCAGCAATCGAAATTCTTTTATTTCCCTTTTGCTCCTCAAACTTCTTTTCTTGTATCCTCTCTTGCAGAATTATTAATGTAATATAATTTTATGCCTACAAGTCTTTTGTTGAAGCCATATATTTCTCTGTAATAAAAATGTGAGCATAAACTTAAGTTTTCTGTGACCATATGCCAAATATTGAAACATTTTCCTTCAAAAGTATTTTAAAAGTACTATTAATTTATATTTGTTCAAAACACCATAAATATATCACAAAATCTGAAAAATAAACATTAAAATACATTTTATGCTAAATGAATCCAGTAATGAGATGAGTAGAAATTCTTTTTTTTATCCTCAATTTGTGAATTTATGAATGAATATTGTACAATATAAGATCAATACAGTAAGAGGATTGCTGCAAATCTATACTTTGAAAAATTTTTAGTAGATGGATTAACATTATCGAATAGTTGTGGTGATCTCACTTTCTCTGTAAATGACTTTTACCTGGAAGTTGTAAATCATTAATCTGCAGCATTAGGTGCATCTGTAAAATACTCCCATCCATGGCATCTTCCTTACAGACACAGGGTATGGTTGGAGACTTTTTGAACTTCTGCCTATTCCAGCCCCTGATTCAGATATGTACTCCTAACTGGGTTGAGAAAAGTTACTGCTCTAGAAGATACTATATAGTTTCATTAGAAAGTCTGATCATAGATCATGAGAAGCTGTGTCCCCACTTTAGACGAGTTTTACCAGAAATTAGTTTGGTTTATAGATCTCTCTTAGGAATCCATATTCCTAAAACAGTTCATGTTTTCCTGCAGAATCTGAAATCTTTTACAAGCCAGACATCAAGAACGTCCATCAAGCTCTGTCTTCAGCCCTCCAGTATCAGACTCACAGATCAGCTGTCCACTTACCAAAAGCAGAAGAACATCAGCTCATTGGCTCCTCCCAGTTGTTTCATTCCACAGTGTAACCAGGAGGCTTCAGTCCTACAGAAAATGGAGTGTAAAAGAAAGTATTACCTAAAGGAAAATAAAAATAATGAAATAAAAGAAATGCCCATGATTTTTAAAAGAAAATGTAGTACACATAATTTTTCAGGAAAAACAAGTGAACATGTGGCATTGGAAGAAGATGCTGATGAGGTTGAAGCCTACCTAAATTGTGGGAACTCAAGAGCCTGCGAAAACCATTTTTGTGATGCTAGGTATTTGGATGACATGGAGAAAAGCCAGCTGATTGAAATGCTCAAACAGGCAGTAACTGTGGTGGTAACACTGATGTATGAGGATGGTTCCACCCAGCTAAAAGCTGAGCAGGTTAGTGAACAGTGTTGGGTTTTGTTTGTTTCTTTTCTTTGGCACTGTAAAAGAACTGACCACATTTTTTTTAGTGTCTGATTTTGATGGGAGAGCTAAGAATAAGATTTGAAGCCTGCCCCTCCCCGCCGTGCTGAATGACTGATAATGCATAGCTCTCTTCAGATTTTTAAGAAACTGCCCAAACGTTTTCCAGAGCGGGTATGCCTTTTTTGTATTTGTGAGGGCTCCAAATCCTTAACCTCCTTGCCAATACTTGTGGTCTGTCTGGTTTTGACCATTCTGGTGGGTGTGAAGGGGCATTTCCGTAATAACTAATGAGATAGAGCATCTTCTCATGTGCTTAGTGCCATTTGTGTATCTTCTGTGGTGAAATGTCTGTTCAGATTGTTTGTTCATTTTTAAATTGGGTTAATTGTGTTTTATTTTGGATCTGTAAGCTTTTTTTCTATATTTTAATATAAGTCCCTTGTCAGATCTATGATTTGTAGTTCTCCAAATCTGTGGCTTTTTTTTCCAGTTTCTTACTGGTATCTTTTAAAGCACAAAGTTTTTAAAATCTGATGAATTCCAATTTATCAAATTTTTGTATGCCCTTTTGTTGTTATATTTAAGAATGCTTTCCCTATGCAGTTCTTTAAAATATTCTCTTGTGTTTTCTTCTAAGAATTTATGGTTTTTGCTCTTATATTTAAACCTGTGGCTCACTTTGAGTTCATTATTTTATATATTGTGAGATAAGGGGCACAAACCTGCCTCTTGTGTGCTGATATCCAGCTTTCCCAAGCTGTTGAAGGGACTCCTCTTTCCCCATTGAATCTTCTTGGCACTTTTCTCAAAACTCAATTGACTGTAAATATAAGGCTTTATTTCTGGACACTTAGTTCTTTCCATTGATCTATGTGTCTGTCCTGATGCCTATATCACAGGGTCTTGGTTACTTTAGGTTTGTTGTGAATTTTGAAGTCAGGAAGTAGGAGTCTTCTAACTTTGTCTTTTTGAAGATTTTTTTGGGGGTATTCTGATTACTTTGCATTTCCATATAGATTTTAGGATCAACTTTTCAATTTCTTCAGGCACTCAGCTGGGATTCTGATACAGATTGTGTTGAGTCTGTAGATGAATTTTGGGAATTTTGCCATCTTGACAGTATTGAGTTTTCAGGCCCGTGAATTGGGGAGTATCCTTTCATTTACTTAAACCTTCAGTTTCTTTTAGCAGTGTTTTGTAGTTTTCTATATAGTATACGAATCTTGCTTTATCATTTTTGAAAGACATTATTGCTCATAAAAAAGTTATAAGCCAATAGTTTTTCTTTCAACAGTTGGAAGAGCTTCCTCCGCTATCTTCTAGCTTGCTTTGTTTCCCGCCAGAGATCTGCTGTCTCACTTCTCTTTATCTCTGTCTGGGTAATGCTCCTGACCCACCTCTCTGGCCCCCACCCCCTTCTTTTAAGGCTTTCTCTTTATTATTGGTTTTAAGCAATTTGATCATAATATGACTTCGTGTGGTGTTCTTTGTGTTCCTTATACTTGGGATTTATTGATCTAGGTTCTACAGATTAAGTCTTAGGAGTTTTGTGGTCCTCATGCGTGGTGTGGCTCTCTGCTAGTTTGGTCTTCTTTGACTTCTTTCATTAGTATTTGCAGTTTTCAGGGTAAAGAGCCTGTACATGTCTTGTTGATTTCTATTTAAGTATTTCATTTTTTGGAATGGTTATTATAAATGGTAATACATCATTTTATTTCTTTTTTTTAGAGAGGGAAAGAGAAAGAGAGGGAGGGGGATGACAGAGGGAGAGGGGGAGAGAAAATCCTAAGCAGGCTCCACACCCAGCATGGAGCCCCATGTGGGGCTCGATCTCATGACCCTGAGACCATTCCCTGAGCCGAAATCAAGTCAGATTCTTAACCAACTGAGCCAACAGGCACCCCAGGTAATACAGTTTTTTGAAAAAAGATCATTTTTATATGTTCATTGAGAGTATATAGAAGTACGGTTGATTCTGTATTTTAATCTTATATCCTACAACCTTGCTAAATTCACATATTGGTTCCAGGAGGTTTTTTGTAAATTCTTTTGGGTTTTTTCTGCAGACATTTGTGTCATCTGTAAATAGGGACAGTATAGTTCTTTGTTTCTGATTTATATGCCTTTTATTTCTTTTGCCAGTCATACTACACTTGCTAAGACTCCTGTTGTGATGTTGAATAAAGAGGAGACCAGATTTGGAGAGTAAAATCTTGGGTTTAGTTTTTGGCCTTGATTGTCATTAAAAGAACTATTTATTTACAAATTTAATTGTAGGCCTTTTCTCTCTGTTTAATTATAAAACACACATTTCTTGAATAAATTCATTGTTTGTGTTTAATTTTGAACCCAGGCTCTGGTTCCCTCTGTTGAGGGAGTTGCAATGTTACTGCAGAGCCATGTAGACAGCCATGGTCCTCTGGATGTCTCAACCTCTGATGGTGTCCTGGAGGAAGGCTTCACGCTCCGTGATCAGTATATCTACCTCAAAACACAGCACTCTTCTACTGGGGACCACGAGCAAGAGGCATATAATCAATTTGCCAGGTCAGAAATCTCCTACTGCCTTAAATCTTGCTTACATGCCTGATTTGTCAATCCAATTTAAAAGTCTCCCAAACTCCCAACTTTAAACTTTAAGTTTTATATGGGCACATGACAATAAAGTGGGTCTAAATGACGGAAAGCTCTGCACACACTAGCCCGCTTTCCTCCAAAGAGCTTCTGGAACGGAGGTTCCATTCCTTCATGGGAGCCCCTCCAGGATTTGAATCAACATCTCAGTGAGAAGTTGGTGAGAAAAGCTGTGTCCACAGGCCTGAAGATCCACTGTCGTGGCCACAGTCCCAGATGATTTTCCTCATCTCTCTCACAGAGAAAATTAATTTATCACTGCATTCGAAAAGTAAATTGTCTTCAATACCACCTAATTTCATGCTAATTTCAAAATTTCATTCTGTGGAAATAATTTAGGACATGACTCGCTTGGACCTGCCCCTTTAGAATCTTACAATTTTAGAACAAGCAAGGATGCTTGTGCTGCCCTATCTCAACCTGCTGTGGGTTTCAGCTTCTGCCCTTGTCACCAGTTTTCTGAATGTATTGTCAGCCTGACTCCAGTTTCTGCCTTGGGTGGGGACATCCACTTCTGCCTGCCCAGCTCTCTAAGTCCCAGCCCCTTGGCTGCCTGGCGGTAACTCCTTGAAGCTGCTGTCCTGAAGAGTTCACAGAGGCTGGGGTTAAGAAGGCCCTGGGCCTGGCCCTGGCCCTTTTGACCTCCTACAGTCTCACTGGACCATGAGGGACTTGTAGGCAATTGCTGTGTCTGTCTTGTCTCAGTGAGGAATGCCAGGGGCCAGTGTTGTGGCTGGACCAACCCAAAGAGTTCTTATGATCACAGGACACAATTCAACAAAAACCATCAGGGAACTTTGAGGAACAAGATTCATTACTCACAGGTCCTGGAGGGTACACAGCACACCAGGGGCTACACAGCAAAGTCGTAGCTGGAGAAAGAGGGTGCAGGCTCTGCCTTTATTAGGGTCTGAGGATGGGAGGCTGGGGGTTTCAAGGTTTTACTCTTTATTGGCTAATATAAGTCATAAAAGTGGGAATTAGAGTGCAGGAAGGGAAAAGCAGGGTCACTCACATAGGTTAGGTGTCTAGATGCCCCTGGCCTGTCTGAAAGGGGACCTTCACGGGTGGGGGTGTCCAAGTGTTATGCTAAAGGGTTGTCATACAGCTTGCAATATGGATGTCTTTTGAAATGGATGGCAATCAAAGGCTTAGCAGGAGGCACTTATACTGCAATAATTTTTGGTGAGAATGGGACATTTGTCAAATAGAGCAGCCTGTTCACAAGAAATCCATAGCCTTATTTTTATATAATTTTCTTCTGAAAGAACAATTAGGCAGGTATGTTCTATAGAAGATCTCTGTGAGAACAGAGCCCTAATATTTGAACGGCCTTTTCTAAAATCTGGATTTATATATCCTACTCAATGCTCTTTACTTGGACATCTGGTAGTCACTTCAGTCTTAACATGTGGAAAACTGAGTTCCTGTCTTCCTGAAGCCTGCCTCTGACAGCCTTTTTGTCAAGGTTAATGTCAGCATTTGTTCTCCATGAGCCCAGGCCAACAGTCTTGGTGTTATCTTTAACTTCTCTCCTTTTCATCCGATCTCTTAGTAAATCCCATTGGCTCTGCCTTCAAAATACAGCTAGAAGCTGACCTTGTGTCTTCCCCTCTGCTCCTGCGATTTGCTGCAGGCTTTCCCCTCCCAACTGAACTGGGCTGGGTCTTCCTGAGGGCCTCCTGCCTCAACTCACTCCTCAGCCTGTTTCCTGCACACATATGAATCAGGTCACAACACTCCCTGCTCAGAGCCCCAACAGTTCCCTACAATGCCTGCAGGTCTGTACGTGGCACCTCACCAGGCCTGGGAGCTCATCCTTTCCCAGCCTCCTTGCTACAAGGGTAGCACTCTTCCTCCCCTGCGGTGTGCTCCCAGGTTCCTGCTTGATTTGCTACTGCATTCCTGTAGACCAAAAAAAAAAAAAAAAAAAAAGGCAAATTATGAAAACATGAAAGTAGAGAGTAGTGTAATGTGTAATGAGCCCTACACACACACACACACACACACACACACCCCAAATAGTTACCAAAGGGTTTTCCATGCTTCCTTCATCTGTCCCTTTTCGAGGAGAGGGGTAGGGAACTGGGATTAGGGAAAATCCCAGGCATGTCATTTTAGCTCACAGGACGCAGTTTTAAAATACCTGGGCGTTTCTTCATTTAGCCAGTGCAATTCTCAAAGTTAAAAATTTTAATACACAGTCCAAATTTAAAATTACCTGATTGTTTTAAAAATGTCCTTCTTCACATGATCCCCTGGGATCAGGACCAGGTCATGCGTGACGTTTCTTATCTCTCCCACCTCTTTTAATAAGAGCATCCTCTGGCCCTTGACCCCAGTTTGCAGAAGGTTTTGTGATTGTGGGGTTCTTTAACTTTTACCCCGTTCCTCCATTATTTCTGTAACCTGGAACTTAGTCCTACAACTCCATTATTCAGCTCCAGCTTTTTTCACAAGAGCACTTCCCTGTGTGGTGCTGTCTGCTTCATACTCCATCTGTGATACAGTTGGATGGTCAGATTTAGCAAACAAAAACTCAGGATGCTAAATTTGAATTCTAGATAAACAATTTTTTAGTATGACTATGTCCCAAGTATTGTAAGAGACATTCTTGCATTACAGACATACATCTCTAAAAAACATTTATATTTTTTTCAGATAAAAATTAGTCACTGCTTTTCTGAATTTCAAGTTTAGCTGGGTATGCTGCACTCTGGTTACCTTTTGGGTATGCTGCAGTTATGCTGTCCTTATGTCCATGATGCTCAGATGGAGCTGTGGCTCAAGTAATGCCAGCATGATCCCTCCATTGTGAACATCCCCACCAAACGTTGCCTCGGTGATTTCGTCTGTCAGGAGGGTCATTGAAATCACTTTCTAATTATGTCTGGAAGATGGTGATTTTTCTGTGTCTATCGTTTCTTTCACTGTATTGAGTAAAATTTTCTGTAGAGGACTTTCCTTCTTCAAGTAGGCTTTTTGTTCACCAGGGAAGCCCAGGTGAAACCACACAAGAAAATGCAAATGCCTGTGAAACAAGCTGAGCAAAGTCTAACTCTGCTGACTTAGTGTGCAGAGCTGAGTGGACTCCTGCTTTTTCTCTCCCTCAGCCTCATGCAAGACTCTCAGTGTATGAATAAACAGTTACTATGAAGGAAGATTTATAGTGCAGGGCCCAGGCAGCAGCAAGATAGGGTCTCAGACTTTTGCTGTGCCTCTTACTAGTTGGGTAATGCTGGGAAAATTGTTTAGCCACTCTGAACCTCAGTTTTCTTATCTGTAAAGTGGATCAATGCCTGCCAAACAAGGTTGTGGTGAGATTTCATTGTAACAGTCCTTTGAAGTGTTTAACATAGTGTCATCATGGCAAGTGTTCACTAAATGATGACTCGTATGAATCGCATATCCAAGGAGTTCATGGTGAAATGGGGCGAGCCTACTTTCAAGGTAAATTACAGTACAGATGTGGTCCTGGCTACAGCCGGTACATGGACAGGAGCACAGAAGGAACATAGGGGGGCAACTCCCCACCTCAGGAGGCAGATCTTCCTGCAAACAGCACGTGGGTAGTCTGCAGAAATTGTGGGAGGAGAATTGTAAGCAAGAAGGCAGCATGTGAGGTGGCCCCTGAGTGTGAGAGCACATGGCACCATGTGGTGGTGGAGGTAAGACAGTTCAGTGTGAGCAGAGGGTAGAGTGTTTGGAGTGTGTGCTGGGGAGCCTATAAGGAGTCCAAGGGGTGTGTGCCCCATTCAGGAATGTAGGTCTTAGTCAGCAGGTAATGTGGCTTTACCCAGGGACAGGCTCTGAGAGGCTGTGGGACCTTGGGTTCATTATTATGTAGGCTTTCTCAGCTTCATCCTCTGTGACATCTTCCTTATAGTATTCATGTTCATCTATGTAAGGCTCCTCGAAGAACACCGTCTACAATGTAGTACTATGCAAGTGATACCTGTCAGAGCAATAAAAATATTTTTTCCAAAGTCAGGAGTTCTAAATTAACATCTAAATCAGTGAATTTCTTTTCATCTTCCAGGAAAGTTCTCTTTCAAACTCTGAAATGTCCTGTTATTTGTTTTAATGCTAAGGACTTTGTGCGAACAGTGCTGCAGATTTTTGGTAATGAAGGCAGCTGGAAGCATGGTAAGTTTTAGTTTCTCCAATCTCTTCAATTTAATTCTCCAGCAGTGATTCCTCCTGAGAATGGGAGGGGTGGCTCAACTCTGGGGGCCTGGTCATGTGGCTCCAAAGCACCAGCTGTGTGGCCTTGGACCCCAAGGGTGAGGGGGCACTTTCCCTCTGTGCTTTATTTATTTAACAGAGAGAGAGCACATGCAGGGGGAGCAGTAGAGGGGAAAAGGAGAATCAGACTCCCTGCTGAGCAGGGAGCCAGACTGGGGCTTAATTCCAGGACCCCAAGACCATGACTCAAGCCAAAGGCAGATGCTTAACCAACTGAGCCACCCAGGTGCCCCTCCCTCTGTGTTTTATTTTATTTTATTTTTTAAAAGATTTTATTTATTTATTCATGAGAGACACAGAGAGAGATAGAGGCAGAGACACAGGCAGAGGGAGAAGTAGGCTCCATGCAGGGAGCCTGATGTGGGACTCGATCCTGGGTCTCCAGGATCACGCCCTGGGCCAAAGGCAGGCGTTAAACCACTAAGCCACCCAGGGATCCCTGTGTTTTAGATTGTTTGATTTTTTGAAAGAATATATTACTTTTGTAATTTAAAATAAGAAGTGACTTATACAGTGTGGTCACATGGGATGTGTGTTACTGCAAATAGTTTATAAACTCCCTAAGAATTAGACTAAAGTCCAGACACATGAAAAAGATGCTCAGCATCCCTTATCATCAGGGAAATGCAAATCAAAACCACAATGAGATACCACCTCACATGAGTCAGAATGGCTAAAATCAACAACACAAGAAATAACAGGTGCTGGTGAGGACGTAGAGAAAGGAGAACCCTCGTGTAGTGTTGATGGGAATCAAACTGATAAGCCCTGTGGAAAACAGTATGGAGGTTCCTCAGAAAATTAAAAATAGAGCTACCCTATGACCCAGCAATTGCATTACTGGGTATTTATGCAAAGTAAAGCAATTGCATTACTGGGAATTTATGCAAAGAATACAAAATACTAATTCAAAGGAATGCATGTACCCCTGAGCTTATAGTTATCATTATTTACAACAGCCAAGATATGGAAGCAGCCCCTGTACCATCCATAGGTGAATGGATTAAGAAGATGTGGTATATGTATATTACTCAGCCATGAAAAAGAATGAAATCTTGCCATTTGCAATAATGCTACAACATGGATGGATCTAGAGGGTACTATGCTAAGTGAGATAAGTCAGTCAGAGAAAGATACCATATGATCACTCACATGTGGAATTGAAGAAACAAAACAAATGAGCAAAAGGAATAAAGAGAGACAAACCAAGAAACAGACTCTTAACTCTAGAGAACACACTGCTGGTCTCGGAGAGGGCGTTGGAGGGAAACAGGTGATGGGGATTAAGGAGTGCACTGGCTGTGATGAGCACCAGGTGATGTATGGAAGTGCTGAGTCAATATGTTATACACCTGAAACTAATATAACTATGTTAGCTATACTGAAATTTAAATAATAATAAAGTCCAGAGTAATTAGCATCAAAACATATAGAACACATTTTTATTTTTCATTTAAAAATAAGAATTTTAAATAACTTTTCTTACTAGATGGTCAGATATGTAATGAAGCAAATATAGCAGGAATGCTCATTGTAGAATCTAGATAGTAGATATATGAATGTTGACTGGACAGTTCTTTTTAAATTGTGTACATGTTTGAAAATAAGTTATTGGAAGAAATCATTTGATTGTGCAAAATTTCCAACCTGTACAAGAGTACCTGTGATACAATAAGAAATATGTATTTAGTCTTTGTCCCTGCTTCCTGGCACATAGTTCCTAAGACACCTGCAATCCCCAGAGTGCTAAGAGTGTCTTTTGTGTGCTGATGAGAGGACTGGGAGCTGGGCCCCCCAGCCAGGGTCAGGGCAGGGCAGTGGACGGAAGGACCACACCAGGCTTAGTGGGTTGGACTAGCTCTCCTGGGGACAGAGGGCAGAATGAGATGCAGTCCATCTCCATGGCCGGTGGTCTCATCAGTTGCACTGTGCAGTGGAATCTCCATAAAATCCCTGCACAGGGGGTTGGGGGATCTGGAGGTGAGTGAGCATGTCTGGGCGCTGGGCACAGGTGCTCCCAGAGAGGCTTGGGGACTCTGCACCTCCTGCCCTGTACCTTGGCCTGTGTGTCTCTTCCCTTTGGATGATCCTGAGTCGTGTCCTTCATGATAAATGGGTACTTAGTAAGATGCTTTCTAGAATTCCGTGAGCCGTTCTAGCCAAGTGTGGAACCTGAGAAGGGGGTTGTGAGAACCCCAATTTGTAGTCGGCCGGTGGGAGGTACAAGAGGCATCTGAAACAGTGGTAGTCTTGTGAGGTTGAGCTCTTAGCCCACAGGTCTTTACTCCCTGCAGCTCATGTCAGAATGGTGCCAAACTGTCAGACACCTCCCAGCATCTGCAGAGAGCCTGGGACCTGGGGGTGCAAGAGCCACATGTGGGGCACCAGAGGTGGTGTTGAAAAACAACATAGTACCCATCACCCAGTTTCAACAATTACCAACTTAGGTCCAGTCTTCCTTCCTTTGTAACTTCTCACCTTTCCAAATCCCTGCCTCTTGGATTATTTTGTAGCAAATTCCAAGCATCATATGATTCATCTGTAAATATTTCAATTATATGATGAAACTTGAGGGTTTCATTTTTAAGATGATGCCATCATCCTTGCCCCCCAAATTGTAGCAATTGTTCAGTGTTATTTGATATCCAATCAGTATGTATGCTGCCCAGTTGTCTTTAAATGTTGTTTTTGTTTTTTATGGTTCTTTTGACTTAGAATCCAAACAAGAATCAGAGTTAGGTTATCCCAAAGCTGGGATAGGTGTGATGTATTTCTTAAGTTTCTTTTCTTCTCATCTATATATCCTCTCTCCCTGTTTTAAATTCCTGTAATTATTTTATCCTTATGGCTGAAACCAAAATTGTTTGTTGTGTAGGATTTCCCAGAGTCTGGATTTTCAGAACATATCTCCTTCTTGCTGTCTAACAGTTTCTTCTTGCTCTTCTATTTCTTGTAAATTGGCAATGATATCCAGAGACTTGATCAGATTTCAGGCCTGATTTTGGAAAGGCAAGACTAAGTCATGACCCCGACCCTAACCATAGGTAATGGCGTGTCCTTCTGTCAGGATGTATGTGATGTTTGGTTATCTATCTTTTTTGTGATGTTTGAACTCTTATTTTGTATGTTGAATCTACTTCTCTGGTCTTTCACATTTATCACTTTGTCTAGAATCTATTTCCGATCTTTTTTTTTAGTTCCTCTTTTCCATTATTTTTTTTTTGTAGGGCATTATCTATTGCACTGATTGGCTTTTGTTTATTGCCAGTTTAGTTTTTATTTATGAAATTTTTTTTGGTTTTATTTCCTGAACCCTTTTATTTTTTTGTTCAGTTTTTTTTCTTTCTTTTATTTTTCTAAGTCACCTAATTTCTAAGTGTTTCTAATTCTGATTTATTAATTTTTCATAAGTTTTATAATTTTCTTGATTTTTCTTAGTTCATTTAAAATCTGTTTTGTTGGTATTTCTCTGTCAACTACTGCCACTTTCTCCCCAGTGTGGGGCCTTGTCTTGGGGGGGGGGGTTAGTATGTGAGATGGAGGAATTTACAGGAACCAGCATCCAAGTTCTTCCAGCACCATCAGACCTTCCCCAAGAGTTTTCAAGAATATATGTTGGCAGAACCTTAATTTTTGAACATTATAGCTTTGAAAAGGCAAGTAGAGTGAATGAGTCCACCTGGGTGAGTTAGCACTGCCAGACAGTGTGGGCTGTGTCATGCACAGCCGTGGGTGCAGGCCCAGAGTGCCTGCTAATATTCCCCCAGCCAAGGTTCCAAATCTGCCAACATCAGGGACTTCCCAGATATCAGACAAAAAAGCCATGGTGCTGGATGCCTTGGCAAATATAAATCTCTTAGACTGGCATAATTTAAAGATGCCAAAAATTATAGTATTTAGTGTGTTGTGGTCTAAGAGCACAGTTTGTTTAAAAGAAAACTCCTTTATTTTTGTGTAGTGTTATTCAAAATGTTAAAGTAACTTGGGGCACCCAGGTAGCCCAGGCGGTTGAGCATCTGACTCTTGTTTCGGCTCAGGTCAGGATCTCAGGGTCCTGAGATGGAGCCCTGGGTTGGGCTCTGTGCTCAGGGTAGAGTCTGCTTGGAATTGTCTCTCTCTCTCTCTTCCTCTCCCCCACTCATGCTCTCTCTTAAAATAAGTAAATAAATCTTTTTTAAAATGTTAAAACAGCTTGAAAAACCAATCACTTAGAATTCAGATTTATCTCTCAGTTTATCAGCCCCCAATCCTTTTATAGCTCCCCTGTCACGGAGACTGCCTGTGTGGGAACTGGGTCATGGGGGCTGCTCTCACCAAAGGCTCTGAGTTCCTGAGGAATGGTGGCATGTCCCTGTGGCACGCACCTCCATCACTGGAGGAGATGACAGTGCTATTATTATTATTTTGAACCTTGAGAACCTTGTAGGAGTAGGGAAGAGGACAGTTTTTCAGTTTTCCTGGAGTGATTAAATGGCCTTCTCTGCAGTTGTTCATTTTGTGGGGCTGGATCCCAGAATTGCTGCATGGCTTATCGATCCTGGGGAGGCTGCAACCTCGTTTGAAGACTTAGTGGCAAAATTCCTTGAAAGCTCCATCTCCGTGAAAGTGAACAGCACATATGGAAACTCCTCAAGAAATGTCGTGGTGAGTTGTGTTGTCTTTACCAATGGTAATACAACCCGGATTTTTCCTAGAAATGTTTTCCATTTCATAAACAGTCCAATAGTAAAAAAAAAAAGAACATCAGTGACATTCATTATTACTTACTCTGCACAAATGATTTTTACTCTGACATTTCTGGTAGAGGATATTGACTTAAGTAAGGTGACTTCTGTTCCTTCATGAATTTGTTCCTGGGAAGTCCATTCACATTGTGATTATCTTCTAAACAGACCCTCTGGTGTCAGAGTCACGTGCTCTGTGACCTGAGAGCTGCCTGTAGTGCTGATGCCCTGACCTCTGTGGCAGGGGTTCTGGCCACACCTTGGTCCATGTGCCCAGGCATGTCTTTCCAAGCCCTGTCCTAGAGATGCACCTAGTTGTTAGGAACCACGTGTGCAGTAGCCATGATGCTCACAGCTCTGGAGCCCGGCCTGGAGCCTCACAAGCCAGAGACATCACACGGCCCCACAGCAGGTCCCAAGGAGCTGTCCCCAGGGAGAGCAACATGGGCCACAGTTGGGCCACCATGTTCAGGCTTCCTGCCTGTAAATCAACAGCAATATGCTAAAAGCACAGCTGGAAGAGCCTTACAGGGTGCTCGGGGAGCACAAGGATAGGCTGTGGTGGGGAGCCCTTGGGACAGAGTGACTGGTGATGTGTGGGCCCTGAGGCCTGGGGAGGTTTGCTTCTGCTCTTCATCTCCTGCTGTCTGGAAGGGAGGGTCTGAGACATATAGGGACTAGGAGGTAAAAATGCAGGAACTCACTCCCCCTTGATTTAGAAAGACTTGTGTCAGAGGAATATGGGAGATCTCACAGACCCAGGGAAGGCAGTACCGGGCCTTGGGAAGACGAGAGCCCTCAGGCCCAGAACCAGCAGTGAGCCAGGACCTTGCATCCATGTGTCACTTTTGTTGAAGACTCACATTTTCAGCACTGAGATGCTGCATTTCTCTCACTGTACCACACATGTGCCCCTTGGCAGGAGGGCAGGGCGTGGAGGTGAGTTCTACCAATCGATCATGTGATGTTGGGGAGGAACGTCCTCAAATAGAAGCTGGGACACTGCTACTGAAACAGGAATGTGCCTGCCTCAGTAGTACTTGTCAGTTTCTAGATGAGAAGACCAAGGTGCAGAAAGGTCAGTGTGCATGCACCTTGCTTAGGTCAGGTTGAGACTGTGGGTTTCTGACTCTAAAGTCCAGTTTCTTTCTAGTGTATATCTGGGGATGGGAGTGGCTACGGGGAACAAAGCCCCAACTGCAGAGATGTGTTTTCTCCCCATCAACAAGCCGGTGCCTGGCACCCAGACTGGGCAGCTGTTCACCATGCTGTGGGCTCTGGCAGTCCCTCAGCGACCCGTGTGCCATCGCCTCACAGCCCACAGCAGCTTCACCCCCCAGGCCCTCATCACGCTCCAGGAAGAAGAGGAGCAGCCTCCATGAACTTGGGCTCGAATCCTGTTGGCTAGAAATGTGTCCACTGTGGAAGCATGCAGTGCAGGAGGGGCGGGAGGAGAAAGCCAGGGTCACATGATGCCATGCTGGAGAAGTGATGGAGATTGTCTGGGAGAACCTCAGGGAGTCTGGGCAGAAGGAGCAGCATGGGAGCAGGAGAGAACTGCGAAAATGGGAAGGAAGGTGTGGGGTGGAAAAGGAGCTGTGTCAGGGGCTCGGTCACAAGGGTGCTGGTCCCATGCTGGAGCTCAGTCTCATCCCGGGGAAGCCCCAGCTGGAGAACCATTCCAAGTGGGAGCCGTATGGTCAGCTCTGTCCTGTAGAAAACTCAGTCTGCTCATGGAACCCCCAGACCAGTCATCCAGGAGACACAAGGCTGGGGATGATCAGAGAGCAAATGCTAGGCTATGTCAGGCCACTGTTGACTCCTCATACTGAGGTTTCTCTGGCTTGGGGCCTTGAGGCCAAAAGCAGAATGTGGAGAATCATTTGACAGAGTGAGGTGTTCAAGGAAGGAGAGTCAGATAGTGCTGAAGGCTACGGCTCATACCCTGCCCTGTTTGTTCACTCTCAGGGCCTCTGGAGGCGTCATCCAGGTGTGGATGGGTGGTGAGGGTGGCCACTTGGCTCCTTAGCTTGCTGAGCTGTGTGGAGGGTGCTCATCTGTCTCTACCTCTGTGTGATCTTTGCACCTTGGACACAGCTCCTTTACAGTTCCTGTAAAGTGAGGGAAAAACTGGGTCAGGGAGAAAGTGTGAGGCTCCAGGTAGCTTGCATTTGCCCAATAAGAAGGATATTCAGTAGCCTGGGGGCTCACCTGCTTGAGGTATTTTGTAATGCCACTGGCTGTGTCATGTCTGCCATGGAAAGACTCCTGCCACCCAGCTGGTGCCCATTTGTGTGGCTTGTGTCACTTTCTGCATTGTGATGAACATTGTTGCCAAGTTTGCCTAATCTTTCATTCTTTCGATCTTTTAAAGAATCAGAATGTACGTGTGAACCTGAAAATACTCTACAGACTTACAATGGGCCTTTGTTCCCAGTTGAAGGCAAGGCATTTTATTATAACTTGGGGTTAGCAAGCACTCTCGCTCACTGTTCCCCAAGAGCATCTCTCACTCCTATCCACACTCCCAGAGCATCTTTGAGTATGCAGGAAATGGAAGATAGAATTCTAAGGCCAAGTTAACTTGTGCATTACTCATAGAACGATAGTCCATGTGATAAGACCTCAAGTTTTAAAAATGTTTTCTGTAGGTTAACAATTGTAGCATTTTTAAAAGCCACCAATTCAGTTGGAACTTTTTTTTTTAAGATTTATTTATTTATTTATTACAGAAAGATGGAGAGCATGAGTAGGGGTAGTGACAGAGGGAGAGAAAATCTCCAGCAGGTGCCCCACTGAGTGTAGAGTCTAATATGGGGCTCAATCTCACAACCCTGAGATCAGGACCTGAGCTAAAGTAAGATGCTTAACCCACTGAGCCACCCAAGCACTCCTCAGTTGAAATGTTTCTAATGCTGCAGTTAACATAAAAGCTGAGTATATATTTTAGTTTAAAAGTGGGATGGACCCAGCTCTACTCAGTCTCATTAGGAAGCAGAGGGCATTGAGGGAACAGTCAAGAAAAGCTGAAGGAAGGGACAATATATGGAGGTGAGACCAGGTATGAGGGGGCCAGCAGGGGATGGAGAAGCCTCTGGGGACAGGCACTGGCAGTAATCTCCTCTACCTCTGGGCTTGGAGGGTAAGCTGTCACCAGAACATGGGGAGAGCAGTGGCCCTACAGGGGCTGCCGAGGAGTCAGGAGGCCAGACACCAGGAGCTGTGGCTGTGGGCCAAGAACTGTGGGCTGCGGGGTAGGGTCCAGCAGGAGAGAGGAAACCCACTTCTCTCCCCTGCTGCCCGTCAACCCTTCCTTGAGGGCAAAGTGCAGGGCACTGGGTGTGGAGGAGCAGGTCAAGAGTGCAAGGGCACAGCACAGGGGCAGGTGAGGCCAAGGACTTTCACACGGCAGCAGGAAGGAATGCACATGACAGAAGCTCTGAGAAGAAGCATGAAGACAGTGTGAATAAACGCAGAGATGTTTTGTATTATTGGAGAAGGTGACCTAATAGATTTCACCTCCCCCCACGCTAATCTACAAAGCCAATGCAAAAACCAATGAAAATCCTAGTTATACTTTTGGGAATTCAGTAAACCTATTCTGAAGTTAAAATGGAAGACTAAAAGTCTAAAAATACCTACATCACACTTTAAAATGAAAAAGATTAGGGTGCCTGGGTGGCTCAGTCAGTGAAGTGTCTACCTCCAGCTCAGGTCATGATCTCAGAGTCCCAGGATTAAGGCCCAATGAGCTCACTGCTCAGTGAGAAGTCTGCTTCTCCCTCTCCCTTTGCCCTTCCCCTCTGCTCATGCACTCCCTCTCTCAAATAAATAAAATCTTTAAAGAATTTTTGAAATGAGAAAGATTAAAGAAAATTGAGAGTGGGACTTGGCCTACTTGATATTTCTAAATATCTGTATGAGATCTTGATAATGAAATAGGATACTTGAAGGAAATAGGAGCTTTATTAGGAAGGAGGACAGTGGGAAGCTGCTGTTGGATAGGTGCCACCACTCACTTAGGAGTTGCCCAGATTATACAGTCAGGTAGGCTATTAGCTATGTGCAGGTAGAAATAATTTAAAAGTAACATAGGTATTACTTCTTTTCTACAAAATAGGTTTATGGTTTATGGCAACTATTTTGTACTTTGGAGCTTCCTCTGATACCAATTTTGGCAGGTAAGGTACCATAAAGATGATGGACAGTCCTCTTTCTAGGGAATTCTCAACATTGTTTGAGAGCAACTGTTTATCTCTTATTTAGACATAGGCAGTGTGTTATGTAGGCACTGAGAGGTAGCCAGCTCTCTATTTGCCTTCTCTGTAATAAGAGGAGTTGGACCGCATCACCTGTTGATCTAGAAGGACCAGAGGTTCTGACCTCTCAGTCACATGGGATCCCTTTGTACTGTGTGGTTCTGCTGGGTGCCTGGGCCAAGGGGCAGCCCCATGCTCCTGAGAGCCGCAGAACAGGAGTGCAGGAGGAGCCTGTGGCATGTTCTGCATGTCAGTTCGTCCTAGTGTGTGCTATTGTTCAGCCCTGCCCCCTCAGGACAGCCCTGAGGACAGGGTTGAGGGCTCTCCTCTGTCTTTGCCTCTTAGCCCCCACTCTGCCCAGGTCCTGCTGGGCACTCTGAGGCTCACCTGGCCCGAGGCAAGTCCATCCCTGGCAGCTGGCCAGAGCGCATCCCCATGCCAACCACCACCACACGGAGCTCGAGCACTGACCCGAGTGGATGGTTAGTTGAGGTTGGACACAGCAGGCACTGTCATTATTGTCCTCATCAGGGAGCAAGGCTAGCTGCTTGTCCTTGAGCCTTTGGCAGAAATGACTCATTGAGAGAGTACAAGTTTTCTCTTTGGTGTTTGAATCACAGTGATGGAAAGCCACAGCATTCGGGTGAACAGAGAAGAAATGGAAAGGACTTCAGCACTTCTTGGGGTGCGTTCTTATTGTAGAGCTGTGGTGCCTATAAGTCTTTCCTACCCCCTGCTCCCTTCCTTGCATGCACCAAACAACGCCGATGCCTCCTGTGTCTGATGTGTGCAGGTGAGTACCAGGCGGGCAGCTGGGCCCTTGCCCCATGGCATGTGCGGGATGTCATGGATCCTCCAGCTTCTCAAAGGTCAGGCTCTCTCACAAGGAATCCTACTGTTTGGTGAGGGGAATTCACTGCTTTCTTGGGTTCTTTGAAAAAGCAATAACAGAACTTTCTGTCAAAAATAAGAAATGCAGAGGGATGCATAGAGATGCATGAAAAAGGCATTAAAATGTGTCACGTAAGTTATTTTAAAGGAAACTCTAGCATAACCATCACTAGGCCAAAGCGTAGAATTTCTAGAAGCCCTGTGTGCCCTTTCCCTATCTCAACCCTGCTATCGAAAGTCATCCCTGCCCTGGCTGTGGAGTCACTACCTTGTTGCTTTCCTTTGCTGTGTTCCACCTCAGCGCCTAAACAGTGTTGGGCTCTCCTTTGGGACTGTGGGTCAGTGGTCAGCTGACCACTCTCCCTCTGCCTCCAAGTCTCAGCCTCACCATGTCCTGTGTCACTTGGTGCTGGTCTGCTGTCACACCCCTCACCCTATACCCCTATGGATAGCATCTGCATTGTGGCCAGCTGGCGGCCCTTACAAACCATGCTGTTCCCTTGAACATGTCTCCTGGGCCCACCAGCACCCACTTCCCTGGGACCCAGGATGGTCTCCTCAGCTTTAGTAAGGAACACTGAATTGCTTTTCCAAAGTCACACCTGCCAGAAGCACACTCAGGTCCTGCCATTGCTCATCCTCCCCTGTATGGGGACACCAGGTTTGCAGGAACACCTACTCTGGTGGGAATGTAATGGTATCTCCTTATGATTTTGGTTTCTGTTTTCCTGACTACTAATGAGATGGGATAGCTTTTAGTATCATCATTGTCTACTAGGAGTTTCTCTTTGGTAAAACAGCTTTTCAGGTTTCTTACCCATTTTTACATGGAGGGCTCTCTTTCCCTTATAGTACATCTTGATAAAATCCAGTTACAAACCTGTTATATATACCTTCTCCCTCTCTCTGTTACCTTTGTACTTTCCTAATGGTGTCTTTTGACAAATAGAAGTTCTAAATTTTTAATGTGGTGTAATTTACCAATATTTGTCTTTATGATTACTGCTTTCACTATGCTGTTTAAGAAAGCTTTCTTATGTCAAGCTCATGAACTATTCTCAGGTGTTGTGTTTAAAATCTATTTTCATTAGCCTTTGCATTTAGGTTTATAATACACCTGATTTTTCCTTTTTATGTACTTTTTTAATTGAGAAAGAAATTGCATACAGTGAATAATGCAACTATTTTTAATTGTGATAAAATACATTTAACATAAAACTTACCATCTTAACCATTCCTAATTAGACAGTACAGTGATATTCAGTACACTGACATGATTGTATAGTCGTCATCACCATACATCCCCAGAACTGCAAAGCTGAAACTCTGTGCCCCTTCAGTCCTGCCCATCCTCCCCTCACTCTAGCTCACACCAGCCACCACTATGCTTTCTTTCTGTGACAACACTGCTCTAAGCACTTCACGATCATACAGAACTTGTCTTTTTTCCCTGGCTCATTTCACTTAGCATAATGTCTTCAACATTCATCCTTGTTATAGCATGTTGCTACATGAATTATCTTCCTCTTTGAGGTTGAATACTACTCCATTGTACATATATACCACATTTTGCTTACTATTCATCTGCCAGTGGATGTAAGCAACTTGAGCTGCTTCCATGTGTTAACCATTGTAAGTAATGCTGCTATAAGAATGGGTGTACAAATATCTCTTTGAGACTCTGCTTTCATTTCTTTTGAGTGTATATCCCAGAGTGAATTGCTAGATCTTATGGTAATTTTTCATTTTTTGAGGAACCATTATACTTTTTCCACAGTGGCTGTACCATTTTGCACTCCCACTAACATGCGTAAGTGCACTTTCTACACATCCTCACCAATACCTGTCATTTTCTGAGCTTCTTTTGTTTTGTTTTTATAATAGCCATCCCAATGAGTGTGAGGTGGTATCTCACACTGTAGTTTTGATTCCATTCCCCTAATGATTAGTAATGTTCATCATCTTTTCATGTGCTTACTGACCATCTGTGAATCTTCTTTGGTAAAATGTCTATTCAGGTCCTTTGCCCATTTTTGAATTGGGTTGTTAATTTTTTCTTTTTGTTGAGTTTTAGATGTTCTCTATATATTCTGGATAGTAATACTTTATCAGATATATGATTTATAAATATTTTCTCCCATTTTATGGGTTGCCTTTTTTGCTCTTTGATAGTGACTTGATGCACAAAAATTTAAAATTTTCATAGTCCAATTAAAATTTTTTTCTCTTGTCCCTCTGCCTTTGTTATCATATTCAAGAAATCACCTTCAAATCCAATATAGTGAAGCTTTTGTCCTGTGTCTCTTTCTAAGAGTTTTACTGTTGTAGGTCTTAAATTTAGGTCCTTGATAATTATGAGTTAATTTTTGTATATGGTGTGAGATAAGAGTCTACCTTCATTTTTCTGCATGTGAATGTCCAGTTTTCCCAACACCATTTGTTGAAAAGACTGTACTTTTTCCATTGAATATTCTTGGCACACTTGTCAAAAATCATTTGATCCTACATGCAAAAATTTATTGCTGGGCTCACTATTGTATTCTTTCTCTGTCTGTCCTTATACCAGTACACACTGTTTTGGTTAGTGTAGATTTGTAGTCAGTTTTGATATCAGAAAGTATGAATCCTCTACATTTGTTCTTTTTCAAGATTTGGCTATTTGGAATCTCTTGAGATTTCATATGAATTTTAGGATGCATTTTTTCTAGTTCTGAAAAAGTCTTTGGGATTTTAATAGAAATTGCATTGAATCTGTAGATCACTTTGAGTAGTTTTCATATTTTAATATATTAAGTTTTCCAATCCATGAACATGAGATGTTTCCATTCATTTATTTTAAAATTTATTTCAGCAGTGTTTTATAATTTTCATTGTATGAGTCCTTCACCTCCTTTGCTAATTCCTAAGTATTTTATTCTTTTTGATGCTGCTATGAATGAAATTGTTTTTGTAATTTCCCTTTCAGATTGTTCATGTGTAGAAATGCAACTGACTTTTATGTGTTGATGTATCCTGCTACTTTGCTGAGTTCCAAAGTTCTAACAGTTTCTTGTTTTTTTGGTTTTGCTTTTTTTTTTTTTTTTTGGTATGGGCTCTAGAGTTTTCTACGCATAAAATCATATCACCTGCAGAGGTAATTTTACTTTTTCTGTCCCAGTTTGGATGCCTTTTATTTATTTTTCTTGTCTAATTGCTCTGACCAGAACTTCCAGTACGATGTTGAACTGAATAGAAGTGGTGAAAGCAAGCAACCTTTCCGTGTTTCTCATCTTAGAAGAAATGCTTTTAGTCTTTCACCATTGAGTATGATGTTTCCTGTCAGTTTTTTTATATGGTTTTTATTATGTGGAGATAGTTCCCTTCTGTTTTAAGTTTGTTAAGTATTTTTATCATGAAAGAGTGTTAAATATTGTCAGATGATTTTTGTGCATCAGTCGACATGATCCTGTACTCTTATAACCCCTCCATTCTGCTGATGGGGCGTTTTACATTGATCAGTTTTCATGAATTGATCCATACTTGTATTCTACGAATAAATCCCACTTAGTCCTGGTATATAGTTCTTTGAATACATTCCTAGTATTTTTTTGAGGATTTTTGCATCAATGTTCATAAATGTTGTTAGTCTATAATTTTCTTATATCTCTGGCTTTGGTATCAGGGTAATGCTGGCCTCATAGAATGAATTAAGAAATGGTCTTCCCTCCTCTCCATTTTTTGGGAAAAGTTTGGGAAGGATTGATATTGGTTCTTCTTTAAATGTTTGGTAGAATTCACCTGTGAAGCTAATGATCTGGGGCTCTTTGTTGGGAGATGGATTATTGATTCAATCTCCTTACTAGTTATAAGGACTATTATAGGACTATTCAGATTTTCTATTTCTTGGTGATTTAGTCTTGATAGGTTTTGTGATTTTAGAAATTTATCCATTTCATCTAGGTTATCCAATTTGTTGGTGTACAGTCATTCTTAGTACTCTTATAATTCTTTTTATTTTTGTAGAATAATGTCCCCAACTTCATTTCTGATTTTAATAATTTGAGTTTTCTCTTTTTAATTAGTCTATCTGCTGAAAATTTGTCAATTTTTAAAATCATTTTGAAGAACTAACTTTTGGTCTCATTGATTTTCTCCATTGTTTCCCTATTTATTTCATTTATCTCTGCTCTGATGTTTCTTATCTTCTTCCTTTTGCTACCTTTGAGTTTAGTCTGTTCTTTTTTTTTAGTTCCTTAAGTTGTAAAGTTAAGTTATTGATTTCAGATTTCTTGTTTCTTAATATCTATAATATTTATAGCATTTATAGCTATAAATTTCCCCTTTATTACTGATTTACTGCATTCCATAAGTTTTAGTATATTGTATTTTCATTTTCATTAATCTCTAAGTAATTTCTGAACTCTCTTTGATCTTTTGGTTGTTTAAAAATAATTTTAGTTTCCAGTTTTGTGAATTTTCCAGTTTTCCTTTTGTTATTGATTTCTAACTTCATCCTGTTGTAGTCAAAGAAGATGCTTTGTAGTCAGGGAAGATGCTTTCAAAAAATAACTGTTTTTTGAAGTCTCTTGAGTCTTAATTTGTGGCCTAACATATGGTCTGTCCTGGAAAATGTCTCATGTGCACGTGAGGAATCTGTGTGTGGTAGTTGCTGGGTGGTGCTCTGTGTGTCTGTTGGATCTGGTTGGTTTACTGTACTGCTTAAGTCCTCTGTTTCCTTATTTTCTGTATGGTGGTTCTACCTGTTATTGTGAGTGGAGTAATCAAGTCTCCTAACAACTATTGTAGAATTGTCTA